ACAGATTAAGCTTGGGGGTACCATCATCAATAGAGATTTTGTGAAGAATGTTGGAGTTACATAAAGCACATAAAGCAATAATAATCCTTACAATTGATTTAGTGCCTTATTACGTCTTCAAGAAGTCTTAAAGTGCTTCACAGAATATACTGTAAAATGAATTGACTGTATATTTTGTGGGCAAAATATATGAAAGCAAAGTTCACATTCCTCAGGGCTGAGGAGCACCGCATCTTGATCTGGAATCACACATGAAATTGGTATAGGAGGAATGTTGCCTGGACACCAAGAGAAACTTCCTTCTCTTTTAGTTGGTATCACTGGTTCTTTGACGTCCACCTGATCAGGCAGTTTATCACCTTACACCAAGGACTCACCCAACAATGTCTTAGAGTGCCAGCTGGATTGAGTTCAAATTCATTGAAAGTGGGTTTCCATCCCACAATCTTTTGACGAAGAGGTGAGAATGATACTCACTGAGCCAGGCTGACACTGACAATCATTGTGGACGTGACATGGTCAGAGCACATTCTGCAATCTAATTCTATAAATGTGGCTTGAAAATCCTGGGATGGGGGGAGAACGACGATAAGGGAATGAAGAACTATTGGGGTCAAAATTAAGGCATGTGATATTAATGCATTGGCCAAAATGCGGTTAGAAGAAGGGTCCGTAACTCTTGTCTGTTCAGTGCCTTGGACATCCTCGGGACGTGAAAGACGCTATACACATGTAATTTTGTTGTTGTTGTTGATAGTTATCTATCAGTGACCTTGTGTGTGTTCACTATTGACTGATTTTGACTGCATTTTGGGTTTATGTGATAACCATCACCAGTAATAATACCACGTTACTTACTTTGACTCCATTATTCTATATTCCATCTGCTGCATTCATGCCAACATACTATTATCTCTTTCGAGACAAATATTTATGAAGATGCCAGATTGAGACCATCATTAACTCACTGATAATGTGACTAATTCCTAAGCCCAGAGGTTCATGCGAACTGAGATAGTATTGTGGTGGGGTCTGGGATGTGTGCCATTGCTTTGGTCTGTAATTCAACTGTTTTAGATCATGGATAGACCATGAAGCCACAAGCACAACTGCATTGTAAAATGGGTGAATGCCAGGCCATAGACTTTAATACTATTGTATCTGTTTAAAATGACAGATGTAGATCAATCCTGTCTGTTTCAGACAGAAACGCTTTCATAATTCTACATTCTTCTTGTTAATGGAGTGATCTCGACTCAAGGAAATAGTTTGCTTCACAGATGCTTCTTGGCTATCAAGAAAGCATTACTAGAGCATGAGCTGTGAAGGAATGTCTAGTTTAGCCCACCAGATTTATTGTAAAGTATTGCAAGCAGCAGGGGAAAAGGGACAACAAAATATTTTCCATTTACTGAAGTCAAAGCGGTAAAGAAAGAGATTTTAATTACGCCATGTAGTATTATACACATGTACTGTGTCTGTCATTTTACAATGCCTGATTTGGTTAAAATGCTTTAAACTATTATATATAGTCCTTCAGAGACTATACTGACCCGTGAAACATATTTAAACTGCACAACTGCAATACCTAATAGGAACTCCAAATAATTAGGTGAAACCAATATGGAATGATTTCAAGTTAGATTTTTGGCAGAGGCACACCCATCACTTGATGATGTACAGACGTTGTGAAGATTTTTTTGGGTGGTTTTAGATCTAAATTACTTTGAGAAGTACAACGGTTCTCCTCCACTGAGCCTCACGTTCGACACTCTGACTAATGCGAACTGGGCCTGTCTTGAGACAGCATCGGAGCCAAAGTTTCCCAGGTCATCCCGATTTAAATGGGGTTTAAAGGAAATCCGCTCTACTTTGTAGAGTTCTGTAGCGTATTGGTTAGAACACTCACATCACAAGCGAGAGGACCTGGGTTCGATTCCCAGTCGGGGCAAACCTTAGACAAGTTTCCGTACTCCACACACCTGTTTACCTATCAGTAAGTAGAAATCTGGTTGTTAGTAGATTGGGGCAATCACTTTCCAGGGTTAGTTATCCCTCAAAAAAATGTGGTCACTCAATTCACGACTGTTTGTGGGTCACTGCTGAGTGCAACTGGCTGCTGCGCTTCACCCACAAAATATACAGTCAATTCACTTTATTGTATATTTTGTGAAGCGCTTTGAGACATCGCAGTGACATGATAAGGCATTATGGAATGATCATTATTATTATTATTATAATACACGCTGAGCTGCCATCTCTGGTGCTTGGCATCACTTAAGCTACTGGTACCAAACTCAAATGTTTCTGGTGGTACTTTAAACATTTTCAGTGTTTGGAATCACTTGCATTCACCGTTTATTTTTTTAAAAATATTTGTTCAAAAACATAACCTTGCAATTTTAGTTCGCAATCTCTATCAAAATATGCACAGTACAATAAAATACAATAAAACACTGTAAAAGCATTCAAAATTGAATTCTACTATTTAAAAAGCATTCCACCTTTTAATACTGTGATGTTTTTCTTACTTTGTCAGCTTGAAGCACACACATCGTGTTCTGATCCTCATTCACAGTAGGAAGTTGTCTGGTCCAATGACTTCATTTTGCATGCTTCTGGTTGTTGACAGCTGGATTTCGATGTTAAATCACTAAATTGTACACATAGTTCTAACACTAAGATAACTGATAAAATGTTTATTGCTTAAGTGATTGAAACTTTGAAGTTTCCCCAAGGAGCTGCTTTTGCTTAGATGTAGAAATGCATCTTAACTTTAATGCTGTTGATTAAATAACATTGTAAAAGGCTTTGCAATTTAATTTCACGAGATCACTAGAGGGGTCCCTATAAAGAAGGCTTTTCAGTCCATTTGATGTCATCCTTACAAAAAGAACACACTGCAATCCTCCCATTACAGTATTAAGCTTTTTCTTAAACGAGTTCAGCATCATGGCCTTAACTACCCTTCCTGGTAACCCATTTCAATCATTAATTATTTTCTGTGAAAATAAATATTTCCTGGTGTCTGTCCTGAAATTTCCCTGAGCAACTGTGAGCCTCTTATTTTTCTGCCTCAGTGTATTAGAGTATTGTTCTAGGTTTACTTTCTCATTCCCATTTAGAACCTCATATACCTATAGAATGCATTAAGACATTTGTTCTTAAACTTCTCTAATATAAGAATTGCTCATAACTCTTCCTCTTAAAACCTCTCTGCCTCTGCTCTGATCGCCTCATCATCCTGGGCGACTTCAAACTGCACTTCACCCCCTCCTGCTCCATCTCCTCAGACTTCTCCTCCCTCCTCTCCTCGCTCAACCTCTCCCTCCACATCAACTCTGCCACTCACATTCACGGCCACCCACTCGATTTGGTGATCACCCGGGGCCTCAGTGTCTCGGATGTCACCATTACCGACAAGGCCGTCTCCGATCACCACTTCATCTCCTTCACCACCTCCACCCTCCTCCCTACCTCCACAAGACCTACCACCATCTTCTAACACCTCCTGGAAGAAGTAAAACTGTGGATCATCCTTGAGGATCTCATCTGCATTGCCTCTAAAAGGGTTCAGTAAATTTTTGTATATACATAGTATTAAAGTGGGTTGGAGTCATCAAGGGCTCCAATGCAGTTCCTACTTTTCTTCTCTAGTGACTATTAAATTGCTCCAATCAGAGAAAGGTGTGCTTCTTTCAATATTTAGTTCTGAGACATTCAGGGATCAACTAACCAAAACACTGAAAAAATGCCTCAAACCAAATCTGATTTACCATGTTAGAGAGAGAGAGGGAGAGGAAGAGATAACTATAGTTATTTAGGATGCCTTAAAATCATCTTTGAAAAGAGTACTAATGAAACCAGCTGAACAAAAATGGTCCACATATGTGCTCAAGGTGCATTGAACAGGGTAGCTCTAATTCTGAAATCTCAGAAATACACTGTTCCAGGAACAAGGCCTCGCTGAATTCTTGTCAAATAGCACTGACATCTCATTACAGCTTTTCTCTAACTGTGTGGAAGCTAATGAAAAAGATGCTATAAGGAGAGAAGTGGAAGGATTGACCAGCCATCTAGGTCGATCATGTAACACATGATCGGATTACTCTGTTAAAAATTTAAGAGCACGCAAAATATAGCAAGCATATATACTTTATTAAAATATCAAACACTTTCATTGTTCAATAGATCATTAAGTAAAGATAAAGTTTAACATTTATTTTCCGCATTTAAGCCTGATCCAGGTCTTAGATGTACGGATAGGATAGACTATAAACCTATATTATCATGTACAATCCACAAACAGTTTTACTTTATGACCAATTACTCAAAACAGGAAATGGAGCTTAAAAATCGCCAAAGCCGTGAAAACAGTTCATGAAGTACAACATTGTAATACTGAATACCCCGGTATTCCCTAAGTGTAATCCACCTGTTTATTTAGTGTGCATCAGCAATTCAGTGCCAGGAATTCCATTCACGTAACTTGGGATGTCTTCTTCCTGAATGATTTATTATAACATAGACAAATGGTTTGTGTTTTTTTTCTTCCAAAAGACACTTTTCACCGGTTCCTAGACTTCAAAGTTTGGTTTTATTTTCCAAATAACACAGATGTATATTTAGGTTTGCAAGTCAATCTTTCATCATTTTTGATATTCAATACATTTTTACAGCTGTTTGCTATCTAATGAACAAGGATCATATTTAGCAAACCTGGCTAAATAAAGCTTTCAGTCAGTTAACAAAGAAAAGTGATTTTGATAATGGCCAAAATTTAAGTGTCACAACTTGAACCTATTCAATTAATGCCACAGGATTAAGAACTCAGGGCCATGCTTCCTGTATAATAATTCAGTTAAAAACTAATGATGTTACTTCCCCAGCTCTCATCTTTACAACTCTTCTCCCTAATTTCTAGTCTGGACAGTAGGTTAGGAATAATTCCTAGCTACCTACACTAGTCAACCCCGATCGATGAGATGGCAAAAATGACATGCACATTGAGAGCAAGATACAAAGTAAGAGATCTCAATTAAATTTGTAACAGGATAAATAATAGACGAGATATGAAGGGGAGAGCAAGCTGCATTGCATGTTTACAGTGACAGGTACAGAAAAGCTCCTAAAGAAGCCAATCATTTGGGCAACCAAGCTGATGAGTTTTTGTTTAAACTATGTTTTCCAAATAACATCTCAATTTGGAGTGCCAAACTCCATGTTTGGCCTTGCCTGTACAATTCATTCTCCAACACATACTGAATGCAAGTCTATTTCTACAGGTAACAATATCTGACCTTTGCACTTGATTTAATTTTAGAACAGGTAATGCTTCTCACTAACTTCTATTAAAATATAAATATAATATAATAATATAATTTGCAGTTCGAGTTAGTGTTGACCAGATTGAACGGGCCAGAGGTGAAATCTCCCCCACCCCCCCGGCATCACCCTGATCTCAATGGTGATGTTAAAGAAATTAGGTACAAACCTTTGCACTTTCAGCATGTGGATCCTGATCTTCCACTGACAACTTTCCTGGATATTATTTTTTTGGCATATTAAGAAACTCAAAAAGCCAGTTTTCCAAAACCCAGCAGTCGAATGCAATGTCCGAGTCTCGAGTTCTACACTGAGAACAGCATCAGGAGAGCGCAGTGCCTTCAGCCAGTCAATATACTAAAATGCTGCACGTATTACAAATGTGACCTTCATATTTCATTCTATATCACAATAGAAACAGGTCATGCCAGCAACTCCTCTGACATGTACAACATTCTGCAGGTGTTGGGTTAATTCAGATAATATATTAACTTAGATCCCAGAACTGCTCGGCACGTTGCCCAGACATGGTGGGTAAAGATAAGAATGTTCTCCCCTCAATGTCTGCCACACACCCAGCGAATTTGTTGGTCCCCCTTAAGGTCGGTCAGGTCCTGGATGGACCTCCAGGTGCACTGACAAGCATATGCTCGTCCACCTCTTCTCTTCAACAGTTTCCCTTTTAGCTTATTTAAGTCGGGCATGTTATTTCTGTGTGTGAAAGCAAGATGAGTTTTAACACAACATAACATCACAACTTGTAAATAAGGGAAGCAAAACAGTTTAAATTGAACTGAGTTTGGGATGTGATTATTGTTAAAGGGAGGATATTCTATGAGGATAAAATCAATTAAGTTTTGTGTTAAAAGTTCTTCCCAAGCTGATCTCTCTCAATGTTAGCAGCACTTGAAAAGAACGGGGAAGGGAGATAGAGAGAACCTATTGTACCCATTATTTCCAGTGGATAGTTTGTGATAAAGGGCAACAGTGTAGGTGAACACGGGCTCTGTGAATGATTCTACTGTGGTCCAGTTGAGATCAGCTAACATAGCACAGACAACTGAATGTATGATTCAGTTTCATACAAGGCAGTGTTATATTAAGTGAACTATTAGGGGACCACACCAATTTTAAAAACCTAAAAGAATCATCTAAATGTAAATTTTTTGTCTATAAACTTTGGTAAGTGTTTCCCATAGTTTTATTCTCAAAGGAATATAATAAATAATTTCAAACAATACAAAAAACATACCTGAAAAACAAGTAGTCGCATGACTTGTCCCATTCATAATCATCAATAGTAACCACTTTAAAGTCACAGGCAGTACAGCGGAGCTGATCACATGTTCTATTCACAGAGAAAGATCTTTAGAAAACGCATTCTTTGAACATCCATAATTAACTAGAAAATAACTGAATATTTATTAACTAGAAACTAACTGCTTAAATTCATTGACAGTCAAAATATCAGTCAACATCAGAACACTGACTAGATTTTATTCAGGTTATCAAGCTTCACCCCTTCTCTCTCTCTCTCTCTCGCGCGTTCTCTGGAGTCTTTGACTTTCAGGTCACACGATCAGGAAGGTATCATAGCCAAGCTGGATTCTTGCAGCATTTCCAACAATGCAGCAAACCCCAGCATTGCATTGGAGTATAAGCCTAGATTTATGAGGTCCAAGTTCTGACTCGGAGCTTAAACCCACAGCCTTCCCACTCAGAGGCAAGCATGCTACCAACTGGGCCAGGCTGATATACAATCAAGTAAACTTTTCCTATCCTTTCACTTTTTTCCACTGTGTCACTTTTGACTTCTCTTCCAATAGTGGGTTAAAAAATATATATTTTAAAACAAATACCTCGGAGATATATTTGTTCCTATCCCCAGAGGTGCAGAACTACCACCGAGGTAAACTGGACAGCACCTAAAAACAAGAACAATGTGGTATCATGTCTCTGAACATATTATAAGCAAAGTGTGAATAAATGACTAACTTCCAGGTTATCTGTTTCCCTTTCTGTGTGTTGCCCATTTTGAGCAGGAAGCACTGCTGATGTTGCTTCCCATATCATTCTGTAAGAAGTACCATTGACGTCTCTTTCTTTGCAGAAAATACATCTGTTGCCACTGATAAAATGAATAAAGTCAAAAATGCACCAAGGAAATATTTCTTAAACTTACTTTCTGCCTTGGACCTGTGAGGATGACCTTTTGCCTCCAGAATCTGCAGTTCTTGGGCCTGGCTTCTGCAACAAAAGATAAGTCAAAAAATCATTCAAAAGCAAGGAATTTAATAGCACTTTCTCATTTCTCATGACCAATTTTATCTGGGAGATAGTTGGCCAGAAAACCAGGAGGAACTCCCTTCTCTTTTTTAACAATGCCATGAGAATTTTAACGTTTACCTGAACTGGCAGATGGGACATTAGTTTAACATCTCATCCAAAGGAGGGCACCTCCAACATTGCAGCACACCACCGCACTGGAGTGGAACATGAGACTTGAACCCACAACGTTTTGACTCAGAAGCTTGAGTGCTACCAACTCAGCCAGGTTTACATGAGCATATGCTTGTTCCAGTTTAAGGGGGATTTTCTGTAGAATGGTTTGCAAATATAAATAACTATGTTTAATAACCCTTATTATTCACATACTTGAGGAATAATTAGCATGTGGTTTCTCTATAGCATTTATCAGCCTGCATGCTGTATTTTCACAAAGTAGATCTTTGAACAGGAATCAAATGCCTTACTCTTTTCAAACACTGAAACATTTTCAAATCAGCATTGTTGCGTATTTTTTACCAAAATCATTTAATATGACTCACAGAAGAATTTGATATGATTGGATCATCATGAAAAATATCTTCAATCATATCACTTAAATCATCCTCTTTAGAACTTCCTTCACTTGTATCTGGAGACAAACTGAAAATATATACAACCATGTGTTAATGTTTCTTTTGAACTCTTTCCTGAGGGTAACTGTAACAGATCAATTAGTATTTGCGATACCTGAAAAAAAAGATCATATTAAAGCTGATGTCTACAGAGGTTAACCAAATATTTTAAACAACAAAATTATAATAATCCATGTTTTTGAAATAGGACCTTTAATGTCAAAATGTTTCAAAGTACTTCACAGTTATTAGCTGTAAAGTGTAGTAACTGTATTTGTAAGTGAACACAACAGCCAATTTGCACAAACCGTCATTAACTGAATGAGCAATGCATCTCGAAGATCAGAGGAAACTTACTTCTCTTTTAAAATTTCAATTTCATGCGATATTTAATGTCTACCTGACTAGGCAGATGTCTCGGAAGAACATTGTGTTACTACAATGCAACACTCCCCCAGCATTGCACTGTATGTTAGCCTATTCTTATGAGTCTCAAGTCAAAACGTGAGGCTTAAACTAACCACCTTTGAATGGAAAGGTGAGAGGTCTATTAACTTAGGCAGGAGAACATCTTTTGATTTTTTTTTGGTGAATTTTCAGCTCATTGGGGCAAGGGTTGTTTTTGATGGGAATGTAACTCTTCTCATTTCTTCCATTGTTTAGCATGAAGCACTTCCAGACATTTAGTCTGTAGTATTTCTTATCTTGTCCTCACCCAACTTCCATATATACTGTTCAATCGCAAGGGGTTGGGAACAGAAATTCCATCTGATTTTCTCCACCCTTAAAAGGGAAGTTGAGGCATTGTTTCTAGTATTCCTATCAACACCCTGGTGAAATCAACAATGTTGTTGATCTAGTTCAGTAATTTGCAGGGTTGCTGCAATAAACAGAGAAAGCTGGTATTACAGTGACCAAGCAGATGTCTGAAATTACTCAATATCACAGCCTTAAAATTTTACAACGTGGAAAAACTTTGGGAAGATTGTTAAATTCAGTCGTAATTTGGAACTGTTTTCTGCAAAATAAATTAAATACATTAGTCGTAAAGCTGAGATCATAAGAGCTCTGAAATGTGTCCCATAGCCAATAATTCTGGTAACAAGAGTTCAAGTTATCAGCAGAGTTGCAAGACTTGATCACTCACTCAATTTTATGATGTGAACTGTTGTTGGGGAGGAAAAAACCATCATAGCACCAAAGGCCATGCTACTGAAAGGTGATTGCTGACTATTGACAGTCAGTTTGGGGAGGGACACAGGCACCATGCCAATAATATCCAGGGAGGGGGGAGCAAAATGGAAGAGAGATGATGGGCAGGAGGAGAGAGGTAGGGGAAGGGGAGAGAGAGAGGATGTGGGGGGAGAGAGAGAGGATGTGGGGGAGAGAGAGAGGATGGGGGGAGAGAGAGAGGATGGGGGAGAGGATGGGGGGGGGAAGGATGGGGGAGAGAGGATGGGGGGAAGAGAGAGGATGAGGGGGAGAGAGAGAGGATGGGGGGAAAGGATGGGGGGAGAGAGGATGGGGGGAAGAGAGAGGATGGGGGGGGGAGAGAGGATGGGGGGGAGAGAGGATGGGGGGAGAGAGAGGATGGGGGGGAGAGAGAGGATGTAGGAGGGGGGAGAGAGGATGGGGGGGGGAGAGGATGGGGGGATGTGGGGTGGGAGAGGATGGGGGGGAGAGAGGATGGGGGGGGGGAGAGGATGGGGGGGATGTAGGGGGGGAGAGGATGGGGGGGTGTAGGGGGGGATGTGGGGGGGGATGTGGGGGGGGGAGAGAGGATGGGGGGATGTAGGGGGGGGAGAGGATGGGGGGGTGTAGGGGGGGAGAGGATGGGGGGGGAGGGGGAGAGGATGGGGGGGATGTAGGGGGGGGTGCAGGGGGGGAGAGGATGGGGGGGGTGTAGGGGGGGGAGAGGATGGGGGGGGATGTGGGGGGGAGAGGATGGGAGGGGATGTGGGGGGGAGAGGATGGGAGGGGATGTGGGGGGGAGAGGATGGGAGGGATGTGGGGGGGGAGAGGATGGGGGGTGTAGGGGGGAGAGGATGGGGGGGAGGGGGGAGAGGATGGGGGGATTTAGGGGGGGTGTAGGGGGGGAGAGGATGGGGGGATGTAGGGGGGGAGAGGATGGGGGGGATGTGGGGGGGAGAGGATGGGAGGGGATGGGGGGGGAAAGGATGGGGGGGTGTAGGGGGGGAGAGGATGGGGGGGATGTGGGGGGGGGAAAGGATGGGGGGTGTAGGGGGGGGAGAGGATGGGGGGGGGATGGGAGAGGATGGGGGGGTGTAGGGGGGAGAGGATGGGGGGGGTGGGGGGGAGAGGGGGGGGGTGTAGGGGGGAGAGGATGGGGGGGTGTAGGGGGGGAGAGGATGGGGGGGGTGTAGGGGGGAGAGGATGGGGGGGGTGTAGGGGGGGGAGAGGATGGGGGGGGGTGTAGGGGGGGAGAGGATGGGGGGGTGTAGGGGGGGAGAGGATGGGGGGGGGGGGGAGGGGGGGGGGTGTAGGGGGGAGAGGATGGGGGGGTGTAGGGGGGAGAGGATGGGGGGTGTAGGGGGGGAGAGGATGGGGGGGTGTAGGGGGGGGAGAGGATGGGGGGTGTAGGGGGGGGAGAGGATGGGGGGTGTAGGGGGGGAGAGGATGGGGGGGTGTAGGGGGGAGAGGATGGGGGGGGTGTAGGGGGGAGAGGATGGGGGGGGGGAGAGGATGGGGGGGGTGTAGGGGGGAGAGGATGGGGGGGGTGTAGGGGGGGAGAGGATGGGGGGGGGTGTAGGGGGAGAGGATGGGGGGGTGTAGGGGGGGAGAGGATGGGGGGGGGGGGTGTAGGGGGGGAGAGGATGGGGGGGTGTAGGGGGGGAGAGGATGGGGGGGTGTAGGGGGGGGAGAGGATGGGGGGGGGTGTAGGGGGGGAGAGGATGGGGGGTGTAGGGGGGAGAGGATGGGGGGTGTAGGGGGGGAGAGGATGGGGGGTGTAGGGGGGAGAGGATGGGGGGGGTGTAGGGGGGGAGAGGATGGGGGGGGTGTAGGGGGGAGAGGATGGGGGGTGTAGGGGGGGAGAGGATGGGGGGGGGGGGTGTAGGGGGGGAGAGGATGGGGGGGGGTGTAGGGGGAGAGGATGGGGGGGTGTAGGGGGGGATTAAGGGTTTATATTAAACATTGTTAAAAATTAGGTACCCGTCCAAAGCCGTTATTCACCCACAACAACAACACAATCTGTCACCAGCCTCCGGGCCTCGGGCCTCGGGCCTCGGGGACTCTGGTGTCGGGGCTCCGGTGTCGGGGCTCTGGGGCTCCGGGGTCGGGGCTCTGGGGTCGGGGCTCCGGGGTCGGGGCTCTGGGGTCGGGGCTCCGGGCCTCGGGTGTCGGGCCTCGGGGACTCCGGGGTCGGGACTCCGGGGTCGGGGCTCCGGGGCGCGGCCCTGTACCTGACTCTCTCTCCGGCGCCTTTGTTCCGCTGACGAGGCGCCGACTGTCCGCAAAACCGCGACTCCACCTCGTCCAGCAACTGGTCCAAGTCATCAGCCATCACTGCCCTGCCCTGCCCTGCCCGGCACCCACACTGCCCTGCCCTGCCCTGCCCGGCACCACACACTGCCTGCCCTGCCCTGCCCGGCACCACACTGCCCTGCCCTGCCCGGCACCCACACTGCCCTGCCCTGCCCTGCCCGGCACCCACACTGCCCTGCCCTGCCCTGCCCGGCACCCACACTGCCCTGCCCTGCCCGCCCTGCCCGGCACCCACACTGCCCTGCCCTGCCCTGCCCTGCCCGGCACCCACACTGCCCTGCCCTGCCCTGCCCGGCACCCACACTGCCCTGCCCTGCCCGGCACCCACACTGCCCTGCCCTGCCCGGCACCCACACTGCCCTGCCCTGCCCTGCCCGGCACCCACACTGCCCTGCCCTGCCCTGCCCGGCACCCACACTGCCCTGCCCTGCCCTGCCCGGCACCCACACTGCCCTGCCCTGCCCTGCCCGGCACCCACACTGCCCTGCCCTGCCCTGCCCGGCACCCACACTGCCCTGCCCTGCCCGGCACCCACACTGCCCTGCCCTGCCCGGCACCCACACTGCCCTGCCCTGCCCGGCACCCACACTGCCCTGCCCTGCCCTGCCCGGCACCCACACTGCCCTGCCCTGCCCTGCCCGGCACCCACACTGCCCTGCCCTGCCCGGCACCCACACTGCCCTGCCCTGCCCGGCACCCACACTGCCCTGCCCCCACACAGGCCCTGCCCGGCACCCACACTGCTGCCAGTCACACGCTGGACGTACAACCACAGCCCTACATACGCAGCCGCACTACACTACAGTATAATACAGTACAGACATCTACACTCACACTACAGTACAATACAGGACAGGAATCTACACTCACACTACAGTACAATACAGTACAGACATCTACACTCACACTACAGTATAATACAGTACAGACATCTACACTCACACTACAGCACAATACAGTACAGACATCTACACTCACACTACAGTACAATACAGTACAGACATCTACACTCACACTACAGTATAATACAGTACAGACATCTACACTCACACTACAGCACAATACAGTACAGACATCTACACTCACACTACAGCACAATACAGTACAGACATCTACACTCACACTACAGTACAATACAGGACAGGAATCTACACTCACACTACAGTACAATACAGGACAGACATCTACACTCACACTACAGCACAATACAGTACAGACATCTACACTCACACTACAGTACAATACAGGACAGGAATCTACACTCACACTACAGTACAATACAGTACAGACATCTACACTCACACTACAGTACAATACAGTACAGACATCTACACTCACACTACAGTATAATACAGTACAGGAATCTACACTCACACTACAGTACAATACAGGACAGGAATCTACACTCACACTACAGTACAATACAGGACAGGAATCTACACTCACACTACAGTATAATACAGGACAGACATCTACACTCACACTACAGTACAATACAGTACAGACATCTACACTCACACTACAGTACAATACAGGACAGACATCTACACTCACACTACAGTATAATACAGGACAGACATCTACACTCACACTACAGCACAATACAGTACAGACATCTACACTCACACTACAGCACAATACAGTACAGACATCTACACTCACACTACAGTACAATACAGGACAGGAATCTACACTCACACTACAGTACAATACAGGACAGACATCTACCCTCACACTACAATATAATACAGTACAGACATCTACACTCACACTACAGTACAATACAGGACAGACATCTACACTCACACTACAGTACAATACAGGACAGACATCTACACTCACACTACAGTACAATACAGGACAGGAATCTACACTCACACTACAGTACAATACAGGACAGACATCTACACTCACACTACAATATAATACAGTACAGACATCTACACTCACACTACAGTACAATACAGGACAGACATCTACACTCACACTACAGCACAATACAGTACAGACATCTACACTCACACTACAGCACAATACAGTACAGACATCTACACTCACACTACAGTACAATACAGGACAGGAATCTACACTCACACTACAGTACAATACAGTACAGACATCTACACTCACACTACAGTACAATACAGTACAGACATCTACACTCACACTACAGTATAATACAGGACAGACATCTACACTCACACTACAGTACAATACAGTACAGACATCTACACTCACACCACAGTACAATACAGGACATACATCTACACTCACACTACAGTACAATACAGGACATACATCTACACTCACACTACAGCACAATACAGGACAGGAATCTACACTCACTCTACAGTACAATACAGGACAGGAATCTACACTCACACTACAGCACAATACAGGACAGGAATCTACACTCACACTACAGTGTAATACAGGACAGGAATCTACACTTACACTACAGTACAATACAGGACAGACATCTACACTCACAAGCAATACAGCACAGTAGAGACACTCACAGTATAGCAGAGTACAGGCACTCACACTCACAATGCAGCTCAGAAGAGGAATCTACACTAACAGTACAGGCACTACCTTACAGTATAGAATTGCACAGTGCTGTAGCTCAGTGGTTAGAGCAATCGCCTCGCAAGCGAGAGATCTGGGTTTGATTCATGGCAGAGTGAGACCTTGGGCAAATTTCTTTACTCCAAATGCCTGATAATAATCACTCAAGACAAAAAAAATTAATAAATTGGTCACTTCAATCCGCAACTGCACAATTAATTGGCTGCTGCATTTCGTCCACAAATACACAGTCAATTCACTTTCCAGTATATCTGGTGAAGTGCTTTGAGACGTCTAGAAGACGTGAATAGCACTGTATCAAATGCAAGGATTATTGTTTATTATTATTATATAGTACAGGCACTCACACAGTACAGGCTCTTGTAAGCACAGCCAACCCCCGCTAGCCCCCCCACCCCCACACACAAACACACATTTACCTACAGGAATACATAATTTTGTTCTGTTGCTAAGTTGAATTCCTAAATGTTTTATTCTTACCACAACTTCCTCTGATGGCATTATCATCTGTCAGTGAACAATTACTTGCCATGTAATTGATATTGTCACCTAGTTAGAGGTGACTAAATATGCTCATCAGTTCAACTCTGCCAATTACCCTTCAATTCACAGTTCTAGCGCTCAGTTACAAATAATTTGTACGGTTACAACATACTCTTTCCAAGAACCACAATCCAGATCTACCATCCTCACTGGAGTAATTTAAATTAAAATATTTATTTTACTTTTATTGGTGTAACAGTTCAGACTCAAATTTCAATCCCACAGAGCTTTGAAATGTTTTTCTTGAACGTTTTGTGGATAATATACATGGGGGTGGATCTAACTAAGAGTAATTCATTTAAGTGGTCATCCCTACACAGGGGTTTCTCGTTTGCTGTGGCAAATTGGCTCCATTTGCTTTCTGTTAATTGTCTGGGATTGAAGCTACCGATAGGAAAAATTAGACAGGATAGGGAAATGGATAGAGCGAGCGAGAAGCCAAGACAGGAATGCAACTGTTGCATAAAGAAAAACTGTCGAGGGAGCAGGTTTTGCTGTAATTTTTAAATTGAAAACATTTTGCATTGAAGAAATAATCCTTCTTTGCAAACAGAAATTAACTTGCACTGGACAAGACATAATTTGTATTCCTTTGTGCTCGGGTAGAAATGTGTTTGCTTTGTATTGGACAGTAGATTGTATTTTAAGGATCCCCAAGGGTTCATTTGGTAATCTTCTGTGAAAATGAGGCACAGATACTAGGGTGGTCCTGGTTCAAACCTCGCTGGGTGATCTCAGCTGGAGCATTCCAATGAGCTAAGGAGGGCAACAACTCAGCCAAGGTACCCAATTCTGAAGGCTACAATTGTGGTCAGAGTGACGTATAGGAGCATTGACAGTGTCATCCTCTCATGGGATTTCACTTTATAATCAGTATCATCAGAGTCACTATAATAATAAATAATTATTATAATAATCCTTGCATTTGATATAGTGCTTCTTGAGATGTCTCAAAGTGCTTCAAAGAATACACTGTAAAGTGAATTGATGGTATATTTTGTGTGCGAAACACGGCTTGTGTCCCACAAACAGTCATGGATTGAGTTACCAATTTATTATTATTATTTTTTTTTGAATTCACTATTACCCTCAGAAAAGCAATCTACCAATCAACTAACAACCTGGTTCCTACTTACTGCTAGGTAAACAGAGGTAAACAGAGGTATACCTAATAACGATTGGAATGTAAGCTCTCAGATATTTACTCAGTAACCCCCCTCTCTCTGCCCACTCCCCACTAGCAGATCCATAGGGCACCTAGTTCCAAAACGCTTGCCAATCCCATTGATTCAACAGAGGTTTTCAGAGTTGGAGACTGACACTATTGTCAGCATAGAGCTTCTCCAGTGACTGTCAGGCCTGAAACAACAATCCACCATAAGGCTGCAAGGTGAGAATAAAGAAATATAATAGTTCTACAAGATAGGTCATTAGACATGCCACAATGAGTGGTCTAACGAAAATGGAAAGGTACATAACCATGAAAGTATTCCCTCTGCACTAATGTTCCCTATTAATATTTATTTGGCATACAGAATGGTGCTTTGCTCTGCTGAATGAAATATCAGATTCTGAAAGACGCTGAGACACATACATAAATGTGTCATATAAATAATAATTAATCTCTATGTTTTCAGAACTTTTTACATTTACAGTGAACCCTAGTCCCATCTTTGAAATTAACTTATATTCCTTGCTGTAGTCAGTTACAGGGCTAGGCATTATTACAGGGCAGAAAAGCATAACAGCAAAATAACCGCAAAATTCAGTGGGGAGTGTGGGGGGGTGGGGGTGAAGGCTCACTTTACTGCTTTGGCTTGTCCTATGCTATATTCCTCCCTATACTTTGTTTTGGCAAACAAATGTTCACGATTGCTAATGCCAAGGAATACACAGGGCACCGGTTATTAATAGAATGGCACAAGATATTTTCTTA